TTTTTTAGCGTTTTGAGAGGGAAATTTGAACGTAGGGATTGTTTAGGGAATTCCTTTTGATTTGTATGCATTAAATAGTTGATTTGGCTAGGGTTTGAGTATCTTGAATTTGGCTGAAATTTGAGATCTCTTAGATTTAGGTTTTCTTTGGGCTCTTGGCGTTGCCAGAGATTTGGGAGAGATCGATCCTCCTCTCGAATTGAGGATCAATTGTATCTTTGCTGTTTTCTTCTTCTACTAGTGGAATACAAATCTCTCTTTGAGTTTTCTTTCCAATTTCCTCTGAAATTCTGCTGTAAACTGCTGTAAACAACAGATTTGCCGTGTTTTTCTGTTGTGGACAGCCGTTTCCATCGGATCTACTTCAGTTTTGGTGAGAAACACTTGGGAATCCAAGTGTTTCCTATCAGATTTCTATCCTTAGTGGCCTGTGTATATTATTAGAATTTTAGCATGTGTGACACATGCTTGCTTTCCTTTCTATAGCGTAAACTAGATTGTTGCTGGGAGTTTATGTTTATTTATTGTTTTCTTATGTAGATTTTGGTGACTATTAAATTATTATAGGAGATGAAAAAAAAAATGTTTATCATTTTTTACATTAATAGCAATTGATTTTTGTTAAAGCTAAGCATCGAGAACATGAGGATTATAATTTTTTGTGTATTTTCATCATGCATCTCATCATAAACTTCATTAGTAATCCTAGACTCTTAATCATTCACAAATTATCCTTCCTTCCAAATCTGTACTTATATAAAGGCAAAAGGAGGAGCCAAAAATAATAAATGCTGGATAATGGCAGATGGCTTAAATCTTGAAGGGAAAAAAATAGTCAATAGGCACCTGTTTCACCAGAATAAGATGATGTTCCATCATCATTTGTAGAAATGTTGGGAACCAAGGAGATGGATGTATGGTATCTTGACTTCCAATCTTTACCTCTCCACATGAGAATCTGCTCCTGATCAAAAGACAGCAGCACACAAGGCACAAGATCCTGCAAAACAAAAATAGGAAGAAAGCCTATAACCAAATTGATGCAGCAAGACGAGGGAAGAGGACAAATTTATGTAGCATTGGTCATGGTTCTTGGAACCACACTAAGAAAGGAACACCAAAAGAAGCTGATAGGAAATACTTGAGTTCGCAAGTAACCCTAAGGTAATACTTGAGTTCGCAAGCAAACCTAATCGAAATTAGTACAAAACAGATAGAAATCTGCTGTTGCAGTAGGAAAATCAGCACCTTCGCAGCAGGTTTTGCAATAAAACAGTGGAAAATTGGGAGGAAAAGCAAAGCGTTCGCTAGTAGATGCAAGAAAATGATAAAAGATACAACGTTCTTCGATTCGAGAGGAAGAACAACTCTCCACAAGTCTCTAGCAAACCCTAGAGCCCAAGCACACAATGAGATCTCAAACTTTCATTCAAAATTCCAGATGAGATTCCAATTACCTCCTAAGCTCCTAATTAACATCAAAGGACAATTACAAACTTCTTAAAACAGCCCCCCTCATTCAAATTTTTCCCTCCTAAGTTGAATTAGACCAAGCATGGCCCCCCTAGGCCCCCCCCCCCCCTTTCTTTCTCTGTCTTCCGCCGCCGCTTGTAGACATGGATTGGTCCAGGTTGGACCGGTCCAGCCGGCCGCTCCTGGGCCAGCAGCATATCAATACTCCCCTCCCAATGACTCACCTTGTCCTCAAAGTGGAAAGAAGGGAATTGATCCTTCATTCTATCAATTTGTTCCCATGTAGCGTCGAAATCAGGGAGGCCTCTCCATTTAATCAACACTTCTTTGTTGCCCTTTTTATCTGATCGGACTCCTGCCAGCTCTAGTGGTTCTAAAACTAGCTCTAAGTCATCCGTCATAGTACCTGGTAGTTCTTCACTTGTTACATGCTCCCCTATGGCCTTTCTCAGCTGAGACACATGGAACACTAGATGTATAGTGGCTGATGGGGGTAGTTTCAATCGGTATGCCACTGCTCTAATCCTTTCCAAAACCTGATAGGTGCCAAAGTATCTTGGTGCTAATTTCTCATTTCCCCTTCTAGCCACTATCCTCTGCCTGTATGGTCGTAGTTTCAAGAACACCTTCTCCCCCACTTCAAACTGCATGTCTCTCCTGTGTGAGTCCGCATGCTTCTTCATGATCTATTGTGCCCTCAACAGATGTTTCTTCAGTTCTTCCAACACATTGTCCCTTTCCTCCAGGTACAGCTCAACTAACGAAACGGGTGTACTACCTCTCCCAAAGTGTACTAGGTGTGGAGGGTCCCTTCCATACAACACTTTGAATGGGATCATCTGGGAGGCAGAATGGTACGAGGTATTGTACCAATACTCAGCCCAAGGCAACCACTTTGCCCACATCCGCGGGGTCTCGGACACAAAGCACCTCAAATAGGTCTCCAAACTTCGGTTCACCACCTCCATCGGCCCGTCTGTCTGTGGATGGTAGGCGGTGCTTCTCTTGAGGATAGTGCACTGCAATCAAAACAGCTCCCTACAAAACTGACTAAGGAACACCTTGTCTCCATCCGTCACTATCGATTCAGGAATCCCGTGCAGTCTAACAACCTCCCTGATAAATGCTACTGCTACTGACATTGCGGTGTAGAGATGTTGTAAGAGGATGAAGTGTGCATACTTACTAAGTCTGTCCACCACCACCATGATGACAGTGTATCATTCTGATCGTGGTAATCCGTCGATGAAGTCCATGGACACTTCCTCCCAAACTTTGTTTGGAAGTGTCAACGGTTCTAGTAATCCTCCTGGAGCCATAGCCATGTATTTGTTTCTTTAGCACACTTCATACCTCACCACCAGCTCCACATCTTTATGCATCCCCTTCCAATAGAGCTTTGCTGCTAGCCTCTTGTATGTCTTCTGAACTCTTGAATGGCCTCCAACTGCGCTGTCGTGGAACTCCTGCAACAAGTGGGAAATATGTATGGAGGTTTGTGGCATCACAAACCTCCCTTGATACAATAGTCTCTCCCCCTCAATGCAGTAACTAGGATGGCTACTCTTATCTTTCCTCAGATCCTCCCTGATTTTTCCCAATTCTTCATGCTTTCTTCCTTGATTGCCCCCTAGTCGACCATCAAGGATATAGACAGAGCTAACTCCTGGAGCTCATCCACACATCGGGACAGGGCGTTAGCTGCTTTATTTTCCAAACCAGGCCTGTACTAGATCTCGAAATCGTAGCCCAAAAGTTTGAATGGCCACCACTGATGCTCCTCAGTCACCATCCTTTGCTCCAAGAGGTAGTTTAAACTTCTCTAATCAGTCCGGGCAATGAAGTGCCGACCCAAAAGATAGGGGCGCTGCTTCTGAATGGCCAAGACAATCGCCATCAGCTCCCTCTCATACACTGACTTCAATCTTGCCTTGGTTGATAGCACTTGATTGAAGTATGTTATAGGCCTGTGGTTCTGCATCAACACTGCTCCCAACCCATATCTTGATGCATCGGTCTCTACAACAAAGGCCTGACTGAAATCTGGAAGAGCTAGAACAGGAACAGTGGTCATGGCTTTCTTCAACTTCTCAAATTCCTGGGTCGCTGCATCTCCCCAGGAGAAGTTGTCTTTCTTCAGCTGCTCAGTCAAAGGCCATGCAATGGTACCACACCTTCACGAACTTCCTGTAATAGTCAGTCAATCCTAGGAAACCCCTCAACTCTCTTATGTTCCTAGGTAGTGGCCATTTCTGCATTGCCTCAATTTTGGTTTGGTCGGCCGCCACTCCTTGGGATACCACATGTCCCAAATATTCCACATTGGACTGAGCAAAACTGCATTTCTTCAGGTTGGCTCTAAGTTGATGCTCCTGCGGTACTTCTAAGATCATCCTCAATTGTTCCAAGTGCTCCTCCCCAATCTTGCTGTATACCAGAATATCATCAAAGAAGACCAGTACAAACTTCCTGAAGTACGGCTTGAACACCCTGTTCATCAAGAATTGAAACGTAACAGGAGCGTTAGTCAACCCAAAGGGCATTACCAGAAATTCATAATGCCCTTCATGTATCTTGAACACTTCTTTTGAACATCTGCCTCCCTCATTCTGATCTGGTGGTATCCGGATTTTAAGTCCAACTTGGAAAACATCACTGCCCTATGTAGCTCGTCCAACAGCTCATCAATCACCGGAATTGAGAACTAGTCTGGTACATAGCCCCTATTCAGAGCCCTGTAATCCACACAGAATCTCTAACTCCCATCCTACTTCTTGACCAGGAGAACTGATTAGAAAAAGGGTTGACGCTGGGTCTGATGATCCCCACCTCTAGCATTTCCTGTATCAACTTCTCAATCTCATCTTTCTAAATATGTGGGTAACGGTAAGGACGGACGTTGATCGGTGTATCCCCTTCTTTCAAAGTAATGGCATACTCCAACTCCCTCTGAGGAGGTAAACCTTGGGAGGTTGAAAGACCTCGCTGAACTTGTGTATGAGCGGCTGCACTGTAGATGGATCATTGCCTTCTTCCTCTAATCTGACCCCTTTCAGGCGGTGCAACTCCACTAAGTAGCCTCCTCCCTCCTCCTGAATGGTTTTGATTGAGGATTTGAGAGAAACCCCTGCCTTGGTCAGCCCGGCATCACCCTGAATCATCCTCCTTCTTCCCCCCATACCACTAGCTCCATCCTCAGTGTACCCAATTGATCTTGGTTTTCCCCAATGTTTGCAGCCACTTCATCCCCAGGATGACATCAGTGCTCCACAATTCCAAGGGAAGGAAGACCTCCCTCACCTGGATCCCCTGAATCTTTAGCATCACCCCTCTACAAACTCCTCTACCAATTTCCACCTTTCCCGTGCCCATCATCGCCCCATAGTCTCCTGTATCCACTAACTCCATCCCCAACAGTTCAACGATCTGGTTGGAAATGAAATTGTGGGTTGCCCAACTGTCACTCAATACCACCACCTCACGGTCAGGCGGTCAGCTATCTCTCATTTCACTTTCATAGTGTGACTCGGAGTGAATCTGTTAGACCGGTCCTCCATGGACCGGTCCAGCTGTTTTACCGCAGGAGGAGGCCGGCAGGCTCAAAGGAGGGGGAAAGAGTGGGGTCCACTTGAGATTCAAATACTTTCTTGGAGCCAAAAGAAGTGGAAGCAAGGGCTATTTGGTCCTTTTGTGTTATTTTTGAATTGTATGCATTAAGTAGGGAGAAAAGCATAGATTAGGGTTATGTGAAATTTGCTTGGGAGTTTTCTTATTCTTCTTTGGTGGCTAGGGCTCTAGATCGAATTCTAGAGAATTGGGAGAGTGCGATCCTCCTCTCGAATAGAGGATCCTTGTATCTTTGCTATTTTCCTTGCATCTATTAGTAAAATATAAGTTTTTTCTCCAAATTTCTCGCCGTTTTTCTTTGTTTTTCCACTGTTTTGGGCTGTTTTCCTGCTGTGGACAGCAGTTTGTATTGCGTTCAAGTATTTCCTATCAAATTGGTATCATAGCAAGTCTTGGGACAAATCGTGAGCTGTTTTTGTCCGAATTCAGCGGCTGAAATTGCACCAGCGAAGGAGAAATTTGCTGAAATTTTTTTTTTCAAATCCTGAGATCTTCTCCTAATTTGCAAGCCGTAGGAGATGGCGGCTAAAAAGGTGGATGCCTTGGAGGAGAGAATTGAAGGAGAAATAAATCAAATCAAGGAGACCGTGGAGGAACGAATGTCTTCCATGGAGGGGCAAGTGGCCGATCTACGGGAGATGATGAAGAAGATGTTGGAGTTTCAAACCCAATCGGCGGCGTCTGATGCAAAAGGGCCAGCGGCGAAGAACACCAACTGTGAAATCCATCGGGAGGAAGAGGAGGTGGAAATCGTGGAAGGAAGTAGGGGAAGGCCTTATTTGGAGCCCTTCCAGAGGGAGAAGAGAGGAGGAAGATATGGGGAAAGGCAAGGCTACGGAGGCGTGGAACCAAGAGGTGCTGGTTGGGTTTTTGAAGGGGGATTGGGCGCTGGAAAGCTGT